TCTCTGTCTGTCTGGCGAGTGCATGCGCCCTATAGCAAAAACCTCTCCAAAAAAAAAAAATATATATATATGTATGTATATTTATTGAGGGCTGGCAGGTAACATAGAGGTTAGTGGCACTGGACTCCCACATGGCCGTTCTTCAAAAAAGAAAAAATATTTATTGAGCACCCAAGATGCCTAGTTCAAATTAACAAAACCTGCCACTGTGGGCTCTCACCCCACCCCACCATTCAGTGTGCTCGAAAGCACACTAAGGAGTGCCCATAATCAGTTCCCTGCTTTTCATACTTTGGGGAAACAGTGGGAAAGTGGCTTGAAGATGCTCCAGCTGTAGGAGAGCAGTCTGGGGTACACAACCCCACTCCCTACCTTCAGCAGCACCTCCTTGGCAGGCTCAGGCCCCTGGGCCTGTTTCAGCTTGTTCTGTAGCTCCTGCACCTGGGTTTCCAGCCCACGTCGTAACCTCTCACCCTGGTCCAAGAGGTTCTTCATGTTCTGGAGCCTAATAATGGATAGTAGTATTGAGAAGAGTCAGCACGTGGTGTGGTGGTTAAGGTGCTGCACTCCCACATGGTAGACCATGGTTTGAGTCCTGGACCTAGACACTTGCTTTCTCACTTTCTCTCTCTCTCTCTCTCTCAGGTGAGTGTGTGTGCCCTGTAGCAAATTAAAAAATAATAATGATAGTAAGTAAAATTAAATAATTCTAAAAAAAACCAAAAAAACATTGAGCATTGTGCCAGGTAGTTCCCTAACCACTTCACATACAGTAATTCATTTAACCCTCCTGTCTTTGTTCGAAGCTTAGTGAGGCCTCCCATAACTACCTTATTTAATACTGTAACCTGTCCCCTGCGACCAGCCCTTCTGATCTGCTTTCACCTGCTCTACTTACCGCCCTCTCACGGGTTATAAATTTGCTTACATAATCTGTTTGTTTACTGTCTGCTCTCTCTCACAAGAAACTAAGCTTGTGGAGAATAGGGCCCTTCATCTGAGCATTCACTACGGACCTCGGGAACATTACAAAAATGCCTGCCGGGTGGAAGAGTGAATCCTCATCACAACCCTGTGAGGCAGATGCTATTATTAGGCCCATTTTACAGATTAAGTACCTGAGGCACAGAGGCAAACCCGGTCAGCGAACTCCAAATCACATGCTACCACCATGACTGATAGAGAAAGCTCCTGTTTAAACCATCCCTGCCCCTTTCAGCTTCTGGAGATTTCTCTCTGCCTCCTTCAGTCCTGGGCAGCAGGGTGTCTAAGTCTAGCCTAGGCCCCCAGCGATCCCCCATGTGCCACCCACTGACTCACTCCTTGGTGCTCTGCTGGGCCTCCCCCTTCCTCCTCTCCAGCAGCTCCTGCAGTCGGCTACACTCTTCCGCCTTCTCCTCCAGCTGCCGCTCCAGCCCGACCCGGGATGGCTCTAGCTTCTGCCGCTTCTGGAAAAGGAAGAGAAATACAGCAGGTGAAGACTACCAAAAGCCTCTCTGAAAGGAATAATGAGAGTATCTAACGTTCGCTGTCGGGCAGACTCCACACTAAGGAATTATGCATATTATCTGCATTTAATCCTCATAAAAAGCCTGAGGTCTTGTGATGGTTGGAAATATGTCATAAATGCGTTGACATTCCTTTCAAAACATAAAGCCTAATTCTACTGCTTTTGGGTATGGGCTGGACTTAGGGACTCCCTCTAAGAGAAATTAGATGTACATTCTCAAATTAGGTCACTAAAAGGCATTGCAGCAGGCTGGCCCTATAACCTAGTAGTTAAAGGAGACAGAGCCTGCATGGCTGACCACAGATCAAGTCCAGGCCCAGGTGCATATGCATGTCCAAACTCCCAAAACGGTGTAGAAATGGAAGAGAAGGGACTGCAGTGTGAACACAGCCCATTAGGGGGTGCTTTCTCCTCTCTCTTTCTGGAGAACCCGCACACCCTCTAGTGATTAAAAGAGAAAAAAAAAAGGCATTGCAGCTTCCTCCTTACCTCTTCTCCTGGATGATTCATTCTGAGAAAAGATATTTGCCATAAATTGTGAGGAAATTTAAGAAGCTCTATAAAGAAGTCCGTATTTGCAGAGACTGAGGCCTCCAACCAACGGCCATTTGTGTAAGACATTTCAGAAGCAGATCCTCTGACCCTACTCTAGCCTTCCAATGAGGAAGCCAAAAGCTTGAACAGAACCTCATGACAGACTTTGAGCCAGAACTACCCAGCTAAACTCCGCTGATCCCAGATCACTGCCCTCAGCCGTTGGGAAATGCCTGTTTTAAGCTGTTAAGTTCAGGGGTCATCTGTTATACACCAATAGATAACTAATACAGTACCATTACTATGTCACTTCATAGTTAGGGGGAAAGGTTGATTTAAAAACCTTGCCCAAGATCAGTTCATAGCCAACAAGAATGGTACCATGGGGACCAGCAGTTGGCATACTGGCTATGTCGTTGGACTCCCACGTGGTTCGAGTCCCAGACCCCGTGACTTAAACTCACCCCAGGCACGTGTGCGTGCGTGCCCAAGATCCCGAGAAGAGAATAGAGGAGAACAGGTTGCAGTGTGGCCATCCCCCCTGGGGGGTGATTTCTTGCTTTCTGTCTCTCTGACTCTCTTTGGCTTTCTGGCGAGCGTACACACCCTATAGCAAAAATCTCTCAAAAAAAAAAACCAGAATGGTACCATGATTTGACCCTAGTTCTTGAGTCCACAGCCCACCACTTAACCATTACTCTAATCCAACACTCACTGAGCATTAACTACATACAAACCAATGCTGAGAGAAGAGGAAATCGTATTGTTTTTAAAGGTTTTTCCTATTGGACATATGCGCTCACCAGAGAGAGAGAGGGAAAGTGGCAAATCACCCCCCATGGGGGATGGCCATGCCACAGTCCCTTCCCCTCCATTCTCCTATCAGGATTTTGGACATGCATGCACATGTTCCCAGCATGATTTTCAAGCCTCTGGGTCTGGGACTCGAACCATAGTTGGCCATGTGGGAGTCTAGCACCTTCACCATGCCACCTGCTGGCCCTAGAAGCAGTATTTATGAAAAGGGTACTTGAGCTTTAAAAAAAAGACTGACCTGAGTTTTTCATTCCTTCTCTGTGACCTACTACCATAGGCAATTCACTTAACCTCTCTGACCTCCGCTTTTCTCATCAGAAAATTGTTTAGCAAGCCTACTTTCCAGTGTTACTGTAATGACTACATATTACCCAGGGTAATACCTATTACAAAAATTAAATTCAATAAATGACAGCTTTTATTATTCCCACTACTATTATGATGATGAAAAGAACTGAGGCACAGAAAATTTAATTTTCTCAAGCTTTAAACTGCCAGGAAGAAGCAGGGCCAAGGTGGGACCTCCCAAAGGAAACAGAATGGCAGTACTTGAATCCCTAATGTGCTATCCCCCTAAGCGCCAGAGAACCCCAGAGAAATCCTTGCTGGGAGTAATGCACCCTCTTGTCCCTTGTCCCATAGGACCCAAGAGTGTTCAATCCACAGCTTAGAAGAGCCAGCCAGCCCACCTCCAGGCCAAGGTCTTTCCCTGAGGCCCTTCCTCCCTCCCACACCTTAACTCTCCTCACCTTCACCTCTTCATCTAGCTTTTGCTGGAGCTCCTCCACTTTTCGGGTGAGATCACCCTGCCCTGCCAGGGCCTTGGTAGAACCAGGAGAAACCATCTGCCACAGAGATGGGGATGGGGGAAGGGAGTGAGTCCACATCTAGCTCCCCTGAGGCCCTCAAGACCCTAAGCCTGACTCTCACTCCCCCTCAGAGAAGGCTACTCACCACCAGAGGCTGTACCTGCTCCAGCACCAAACTGACCTTCCTCCTCACAGAGGGTTCACTTTCTGAGCTTCTGCAGGGTACAAGGACAGAAGTAAGGGTTAGAGAGGGAAGAGGGAGCTGAAATAAAGAACGGATAAAAACACAGAAGATGGGGAATGAAGCTAGAAGGAAAATAAGGGAAGTGTGTGTTTCCACTGCCAGGCAGGGAGCTCACTCACCCTTCCCTCAGGATGCCATAGATGGTGGCCTTCACATGGTCCACGGTGCCTGGTGGGGCTGCCTCTTGCTGATCTCGAAGAAGGTCTGGAGTTGATTTAAACTACAAACAAAATAAAATAAAAGCAAACCAACAACAAAAAAATCATAAACACACATACAAAGGTAGGAAGATTAGGGACCAGCAGATAGTGTGGTAGTTAGGGCGCTGGACACTCCCACAAGGCCAACCACGGTTCGAGTCCCGGACCTGGTGGCTTGCTTTCTCACTTTCCCTCTCTCTTTCTCTCTCTGTGTCTCTCTCTGGTCAAATTAAAATAAATGAATGAATAAATAAAATAAAATAAATAATATTAAAAAAAGGGAAAAAAATAAAGGTAGGAATATTAGATCAGAAGCATGGATGGCGTTCAGATGGGGTGGAAGGTCAGTGGGAGGGACTGGACAATGGCAACTCTGCAAGGCTGACCCATATAGGACAGTTCACGGTTCACATCCAGAGACCTCCCAGAACCCACTGGGCACACACGTCAACGATCTGGGGCTGACTGAAGCAAGGGGTGCCTCATGTCATGAAGACCCTGTTGGGGGTGCTGTCTTTGTGTGTCTCTCTCTGTCTCTTATTTGTGGAAGAAAGAAATGAATGGGGGCTAGTAGGTAGAGGGTAGCTAAGGTGCTGGACTCCTACATGGCCAGCCGTGATTCAAATCGCAAACCTGGTGGCTTGGAACTCATGCCAGGTGTGTGTGTACACATGGCAAAAATCCTGAGAGGAGAATAGAGAAGGGAATGCAGCATGGTCGCCTCCCCCTCTTTGGGGGTGATTTCTTACTTTTCCTCTTTCTGTCCCTCTCTAAAGAGTACACAAACCCTATGGCAAAAACCCTAAAAAAAAAAAAAAGAAAGAAATAGATGAACTTGGAGGGAAAAGAAGTTGGGAGACAAGGCCCTTTGAGCACAATGAACAAGTCTGAAGGGTGGTGAAGAGGCAACACTGCTGAGGCCCAAGCAACAGGCCAGGGAGAGGCCTGAGCAGGCTCCACTCGCACTGCAAGCCAGGTGTTCCTCAACAAGCAACTCTCAAACAGCTGTGAGCTATGTCACAAGTAATTTGTCATTAATCACAGTGAATGTACTAGTGTTCATAAATGATTTACTTTTAGAATGCACTTAAGTTTGCCTCAAAGTGAAGTTGCTCCCCACTCACTTGCATTCCTGAGTGGAAAATAAAGTTGTAGGATTTTGGCAGGAGCACCAGGAACGGCTCCCAATCTCTGAGCCTGCCTTACCTATGCAGCAGACTTAGTAAATGTTGGTGACAGAGGCACAGTTAATGGGTGGGGCATAGACTGCTAACTCTCCATGCTTGTGAATAGTGGCTTCATAATTAGTTCATTTTCTTTAGAATTTTATCCATGGAAATATCTTGTGCATGTGAATATCACCTAGTGAGTGGATGGGTAATGTGGAGAAGAAAAACTAGAGACTGTGTAGGCCCAGCCTTCACAGTGGTGTAGTCAGTAGCAAACTGAACTGCAGTGCTGGAAACCATATGGCCAACTGTGGGTGCAGATGCCTGGTCGCCTAGTGTGGAGAGCAGCCAATCTGAAAGCATGTGATGAAAATAAGTGGCCTGTAGACACATGCAGAAATGCGCTTCCGTAAGCTACTCTAGCAGGGCTACTGAGAAGCATCTACACGCATCTGTGTGCATACCCAAGATTCTGAAGAAACGGAGGGCCAGGGAAGGGGGATTGTGATATCATGAGACCCTATCAAGGGTACTTTCCCAGCCCACATGTGTACATTCTATCATCTCATAAATAAAATCAATGAACTCAAAAAATACATAGTACAGGGACCAGCAGTTAGCGTAATGGCTATGTTGCTGGATTCCCACGTAGTCGACTGTGGTTCATGCCCCGGACCCGGTGGCTTAAAATTCAAGCTGGGCGTATGTGCGTGCGTGCCCAAGATCCTGAGAGGAGAATGGAGGAGAAGGGATTGCGGCATGGCCATACCCCCTGGGGGGTGATTTCTCGCTTTCTATCTCTCTTGTCTCTCTGTCTGGCGAGCACACGCACCCCATAGCAAAAACCTCTCCAAAAAAAAAATATATATATATATACACATATATAGTAGAGAGCCATCTGGTTAAGGTGGCTGAATCTCACAGGGCTAACTGGGTAGTTCATGTCCCGGACTCAGCAGTTTGAAAAAGATGCCAGGGATGTGTGCATGTGCACCCAAAATCTCGAGAAGAGCATGGAAAAGGGATTGTAGCTAGCCATCCTCCCCCGGGGGTGGGTGCTGATTTCTCACTTTTCCTCTCCCTCTCTCACTGTCTCTTTCCAACATGCACATACACCCTATAGCAAACTTTAAAAAAAAAAAAAAAAAAAAAAGCAGGAACTTTTTGCCCATGTTATTGGAATTGGCAAGGAGCCCTGGGACTGGTGACAAAGGGCTGGGGCTGGGAGGCGGGGAGGGGTTAGGTCTGACCTGCAGCATGGCGGGGTCCTGTGCTCTCTCCCGAGGCTCCTCAAAGCTCTGAAGGACCCAGTCCTGAGTCTGAAGGGAACGGCTAAAGCCACTGAGAGAGCTCTGGCTCTGGGCTGGATGTTTCGAGCTGCTCACATGATTGCCATACTTCGTGCTAGGGGTCCAGTGGCTGGGGGACTGGCGCTCTCGCTCCTCAAGGCTGTCCCGTGGGAGCCGGCTGTCCAGGCTCTGACTCCGCTTGCGCTGTTCAGCGGGCAGCGTCCGCATGCGGCGACCAGTCCGGCCTCGGGTCTGGCCCCCAAGCTGACTGTTAAACTTGTTGATGAGTGAGTCTACTGAAGACAGGGGGGCAGTGTCAATGGTGCTGCCTGGAGGAGCCTCTTGGGGGGCCAGCTCCAGCAAACTGTAGCTCCTGTTGTTAGGACCCATGGGAGCAGGAGCTGCCAGTGAGGCTTGTGACTGGGAACGGAGGAGCCTGCCATTCCAGTGGGCCCCGGGCTCCTCGTCCGATGTGCTGTCCTGCGAGGGCACAGGAAATCCCTTGACCTGAGAGTAAGGATTCTCAGGGAGTTCTGAATCAGAGCTTGGAGCTCCTGGGGCCCCTCGGTGGTTGGCCCCCTTGATTTGAACCCCAAAGGAGTCGCCACCTTTCTCTCCGCTGTTGAGCACCACGAAGGGCTGCCCGGCAATGCCCTGCACACGCACAGCAACCCCATAGGTATTGGCTCTTGCATCTTTCGCTGGGCGTCGCCCACCACGGCGTAGGGTGCCCATCTCTGCACCACCCACAGGCTCTGTGATGAAGCGAATCTGGACTCCGTGGTCTACAGGGCCTCGGGGTTCAGCCATGGTGGATGGCTGCTCCATGGGAGGGAGGACTCCTGGAAGATGGAGAAAAGAGTTCAAGGGGAGAAATTTGAAGTAGACACCCAAGAACCTCCACCTGCTTGGTGGGGCTGACTGCTTTGTCAGTGCATTCTACATAAAACAGGGGTTCTCAGGCACGGTGGTTAAGTAGCTGAATCCTATGTGGTCCACTGTGCAGTTTGAATCCTTAACCTGGTGGCCTGAAAAACACACAGGGTGCACATGTGTGTATATGCCTAAAATCCTGCGAGGAGAATGGAGAATGGATTGTAGCGTGGCCATCCCTCCTGTGTATGTGAGGAGGGACTTGTGCTCTCTCTCTCTATGTCTATAGTAAGCTTAAAAAAAAAAAAATTACACTGGGCACATGAGTGTGCATGCCCAAAATCCCAAGTGGAGAATGGAGAAGGGATTGTAGCGTGGCTATCCCCCTGGGGGGTGATTTCCATCTCTCTCTCTCTCTCTCTCTCTCTCTCTCT